GATTGTGTTAGCAGGACTTTATCCAACACAATTACAATGTTTCTGGTGGCAACCTGAATCTACCAATAGTATGATTATGTTCATTCATTATTAAGAATACAACACAGAGAAAAAAAGGTAATGGGTCAAATGTATATAGCACTGTTTCACCCATAGAGGGACAACTTAACAAGATAAGCCCAACCATAAACCTTTCTGACCTGGCTTGATGTCCATAGTAATATTCTATCAAAAAGACTCATTTACAAGAGAAGCTCTGGTGTGGACTACATGCTGAAGATGCACTAATGTGCACTTTATTCAAAAACCAGTTTCACATAGTCTTTAGTTCTTTGGTAAGTACTAGTAAAGTAGTACTGCTAAAGTATGAAGGCCAACTATGCTAAGTTAATTATTGCCATAAGAGTTTTTAACAATAACTGCTGCACAAAAAATACCTTATCGACTTCCTGACACTACTGAGGCAAGATCTTCATCTTAACAATCATTATTTGCTCAAAGTGTGAAGTTTAAGACAACAAAAATCAAACTGAGTAACCCATTAATTTTTTTTTGCAAAATGGATCTTAGTCAACTAAGTCTTATAAGCCTAAGAGCGGATTCAGAACAGTGGATTAGTAGATCCGTGGTTCAAATATAGCCAACCCACCTGAATGCTTGTTGCATAATCCCCGCAGGGAATCTATTCAGTAACAATGGAGAATTAAGCAGCAAGCTTTTAAGTGGGTCATCATATTTGATCCGTGGATCTGTTATTCTGCTGTTTTGAATGCACTCTAAGATTTTGACCCAAAAACTGACTTTTGACATTTTGTGAAACTGGCCCCCTAGCTGCTGGGAGGAGCAGTGTTAGCATACCTGTCCCATGTTGTCTGTGATGTGCATCTGGAACCCTCTCCCTGGACCACAACACTGCCTCATACACATGTCAGACTCTGAAACAGTACAGACAGTTTATATCATGTAAATATATACAAGTACTTGAATTCTACAATTCATCCAGCAATGACTCCAACATTTAAGTGTCAGCTTCACAGAAAAAAATTGTTGCTGGTAATGACTAGTGAAGACCTTCATTAATTACCTATAATATTCCTATACTTCGTGTTTCAAGATCACATTCTTTAAGTTATTCAAGTGAACAAGTCATACTTTTAAAACAATTTCATAAATTTAAATTTTAAATGAATTTTTTTTAAAAACTTTGCAATGTGCCACACTGGTGTAAAAGGATTCATTAATATGTAATAAATCTGACTACAAACAAATTTTCTCGTCCGAGTTCCATAAAAAAATTTAAGTCAGTTTCCAGGCTTAGTTGACTAGGTTCAAACTAGGTAGAAGGTACTAGGTAGAGACTTAATACATACCCTCAGCAGCAAAATAAACCTGCTGTCCAAGAGAGTTTTTCACCTGGTACTTATTCTTGGTCTCCCAGCCAGTGAAGGCTGAAAACAATATCAGCATTAAAACATGTCACCACATGAGAGAACACATTCAGACATGGATCCGCGGATAAAATATATCGACCCACTAAAACTTGCCACTTAATTCCCAACCAGACACTGAACAGATTCCTAGCGGGGACTACTCAAGCATTCAAGTGGGTCAGCCATATTTGATCCCCAGATCTGATAGTCTGTTGTACTGAATGCGTTCAAAATGAAAAACAAACTGGCTTAATAGTTTGTATATATGCACAAGATTTTTTTGTACATCACTTTAATGCTCTTTAAATGAGGCATGTAATTGCAATAAATTTTATTTGATTAAAGTTCTACATGTACATAATGAAGAGCGAGAGAGAGAGAGAGAGAAAGAGAGAGAGAGAGTGTGTCTTGTCTTGTGTCTTCTCTTGGACTCACCCTCCAGTAACTCCACCTGCTGGTGAACCAAGAGCTGGTCGACCTGGGTGAGATACTCCAGCCCTGGGGGGCAGCCAGGGATCCCCTGGGGTCGGACCATCCACTGCTGCTGCTGGGGTTGTTGAGCCCCAGGGGGCATAGGGGGCATGGCTGAAATTGGATATAATAATAATAATAATAATAATAATAATAATAATAATAATAAAACCAACAAGGGTGAAAAAGGTAAAAAAAAAATTGAGACTCAAGAAAAAGCCAACAAAAGACTCATTTTTCCATGGGACACAGCACCCAGTGAGAGTTTAAATAATTCTGTCTAAATACCTTTAATAGATTTTATTCATACATCTATCAAACTGTGCAATATTAAGCTTAGAACTCTTGCATTCCACATTGGATGCCAACTCCTAGAAATTAACATGTTTATTACAGTTGATCCTTATGGGAGGTATTTTTCATTGAAAATAATAACAAAATTTAAGATTTAAAGGGGAGAGAGGGGGTTAAAATAAAGAAAGAGATGCACAACAAAGTAACAATGAGTCATCAAAGCAAATATCGAAACTGTCTTGTGGTGTAGTCACTAGGGTAGTGTGTGTGTGTGTGTGTGTGTGTGTGTGTGTAAATACATATGTGCTCCTGCACATGCACTAATACCTCATGGCTGCTGTTGCTGTTCATACTATGATTGATGTAAATTTCTATGTGTGTGTGCAAATGTATGTTCATGTAAATGCGTATACATGTGCGTGTGTGCCTGTGCATGACTTCACAGCTGCACCTGCTCTAGTACCTACATGTATGTGTGTATGTACAGGAGTGTCTATACATGTATGTGTATATGTACAGGAGTGTCTATACATGTGTGTGTATGTATGTATGCATGTGCGTATACATGTGTGCGTGTGTGTGTGTGTGTGTGTGTGTGTGTTAGTGCATTACCTCCAGGCTGTTGTTGCTGGTAGTACCCTGGCTGAGCAGGTTGGCCTGGGGCGGCACCATACCCACCATACTGGGTGTTGTACTGACCTATAGCAGCAAGGGGAGAGAGAAAGAGAACACAGGTTACTACATGCACTAAAGGTCAGCGAAGCAGGACTAATTTAGATTGTAAATATGTCTACCTGGTGTTAAGGAATGATGAAAGTTGGACCCATTTCTATTCTACAATAGTCCTTGTCTGAACACAGAGAAAGACAGAACTCATAATTTTAATATTCAAAAACAGAAATGGTTTATCATCCATAGTTATTGCACTAATTTGAATGAAAAGTACATATCCTCTATCACATAAAAAAAAAGTTTCATTAAAGTGCATTTACCCAAACAAGCCCTTAAAGTCCAAATTAACATAAAACAGAGTGAAAAATCTTTGTCTTTTTTATTTCCTCAAAAATCCGTAGCTGATATAAATTGTATGTTTTCACACATCTATCCACCCGTGACATGGTACAGACACCAATGTCACCACTATCTTTATCTAACTGGGTCACTGTCAATGTAAATTGTTATTATATACATGTATATTATCAAGTACTAGTATACTGGCACCTATCTAACTGGGTCAATGTCAATCAATATATTGTTATACATCAGCAAGTACAGGTTACAGTGGTATATATCTAATGCCAAGACTGAGTGGATAATAGTCACTGTAATGAATTGCCAGCATACAACTTGCTTTCAGAGAAAAGAATTCAACACATATTCACTTTGTCATAGAGTAGAAAAAAAAAAAAAAATGGGGCAACCACCTAAACCACCTGGTTCAATGTTAAATTTTCTGTATACAATACCAATGCATTCCATATCTAATATGCAAAGTGATCAATGTAATATAACTAATTAACTAATTAATTAATAATATTGCCAGCCCAGTTTATAATGTAGGTCACATTATATAAACTCCCACTCTTCTAGCCATATCAGATTGCCTAATGGAAGGCTATGTCAAAATATTAAACCAAAAAGCCAGGTGTTTATTGACCGTTTCCAAGGTAAATAATCTCCCACTCAATACACTTCACCATGGATTATTCTAAAGTAAACATCACTTGTGTTGGCTGAAGGACTTGCACAGAGACAAAAGTGTGTATCTGAAACTATGGGAAACTTGACAGATACAAAGCACTACATAGTTACTAATTACATTGATTTGGTTCATTTATAAGTGATCACGCAGCTGCTCACATTCAAATCGCATCTATAAATTTATAAATAAAGCCCATCAATCAATCATTCATTCAATTTCATCAAATTAATCAATCAACAAATCACACGTAGTAAGGCACAGCAATCCTCTACCTCACACTGATACATAATGCACCCAGCATTTTTTATACTTTTTTTATATACAATGAAGATTTTTACTTCTTCATTAAATAGTTTTTTAATTACTGAAAAACAATTTCATATTTCCGAATTTTTTCGGTAGAGTGTAAAATACTTATTTTTAAATTGTAGAAAATTATTCACCATGGAAATGATCTAAGATTACCCAAAGTCTTGTCTCTTAGTATAAAATCAAGTGAGATTTCCCAGGATTTGTAAAGTGGAGTCAGAAATAATTCAAGTACAGACATTTTTTTCTGGTTGTTTTCTCTAATAAGTCCTTTCCAATTACAGCCTACTACAGTACACAGTATTATATATATTCACAATCTTTTGAGTTTGTTTCTATGATATTTCCAGCTCATGGAATTTCACCACTACCTCAGCACTTCCACTCACGTTCTGACATTATTTTTCCAGGAAAAAAGAACCAGGACATGAACAGATCAAAATAATGTGGTTTTTAATGGAGAACTAATGAACTAATTAAAGGAAGATTTTTCATGGCACTGATCAACATTAAGAAATGGAATGTCTTCAGCATAATGCAGTTGCAGTAGCAGGTTTAGTTGACAGACAAAAATATTATACAGCTTATATTTATATCTTATATTTTTTATATTTTTAATAAAATTTAAAACTGATGACATATCATTTTCACTATATTAAAAATTGCAAAATGGGTCATTTTTCCCCTTTGGACTTACTAATAATAACCCTACTGGAAAAAAATCAGCTTTTTGTTGTGCCTTATTTAAAACCCATCTGTAAAGCTCTCTCTGACTTACAAGTCAGTCGATTGCAATACCTGACACATAACAGGGTCACAGTTCCCACCCCAGTACACATCAAGTATCTCCTCACACTGCTTACAACTTGCCACATAACAACAGACATTCTCTAAACTAGCCATGCATACTTATAATCTTACCCAAAATATAAAGTATTACAAGATTTTCCTCTTTGAGTAGGATCCCAATTTAAACTATTCTTTTTTTTCCCAAAAATAACTCAAAATTGAAGTTCCTGTCACATTCAGCTATTATATATATTAACTGATTCAAGTTTCTTTTATTATTCTGACACATAATACAAACAAATTCTCTTACACAAACCTGACTCATTCTTAAGAATATTACACAATAGTTTTTCACTATAACTGATAAAACATGGGCAGGGGTAGACAGTAATTTTGTCATAATTTCGAAACAAATTACTGCACAGAGTTGGTGGGGTTGAAGCCATTCTCAACCTCTTTCATAACAAACCCTTTTCATATGGCTCATGAATGCCACTGGTTACAATATAGTAGAGAGACTAAACCCCCAGCCTTGCCTGATAGTATAGCTCAAGTTTCTATTTGACTTTCATATTACACTCTGCATTATCAGCAGGCGTGGTCACACACACAAAGAGAAAAGGGCAGACCTACAGACACACGCTGTACTTTAGAATCAATGCACACTCTGAGGAGTGGGCTAGTCATATCTACTGCCCTGCTAACATATAGGTAACTGGTTGAACAGGCTTAACACATTGCCAGGGTAGAATTATTGTGAATTCTGTGAAATCTGGCTCATCGTCTTGACAGCAATTAAGCAGGAGGACACACAGCATGACTACCAAAATCTCATCAATGTTAAACGAAATAGTTAAGGCTGTATGTATTAAAAAACGAAATGGTGCAATTAATTTTGATAAATGCATCAGATCATTTCCTGAATTTCAATCAAATTGGAAATCATTGACAGTGCTCCTTTTGCAATGGTTTGTCATTTATTATGTGCTCAGGTCAAAGAATTACACTTTTTTGCCCTTAAACTTGCAAAGTTGTCCCATACTGAAACACTTTCACAAACTCTACCCATTTCTTCACTGATGCCCAAAGGCTAAACTTTGACCTCCCCCCCCCCCCCAAAAGCAGCTTAAAGCTTTGAGGAAAAAACACCTGAAGTGTAATGATTCACTTCAGAAAGTTTCCTCCTGGGTTTCCAGGAAACAGACTCTCTTATTTCTTAATGTACACATGTGTCTCACCGCTCTAGATAATTTTACATATACTAGTAATATCTTTACAGTAGTGTAGCAGATATGGTCATACACTGATGCAACCCTAAGAAATCAAAAGATGACAATTTTGCAGTCAGGGGCTATAAAGATATGATTATACTGTCACACAATAAGCTTATGTCCACTTGACATGGTCATGTTCTTTCTCTCCGTCTTCCTCTCTTTTCCTCACTTGATATATGAACTCTTGTCTGGTTACTATCTAATTGCTGGTATGAGCATAAATAATTGCAGATATTTAACCTTGTTAAACAGTTTGAACAACTTGTTTATTGTTTATATTTATAAAACCATTTTCAATAGCTATTCTGTCCAGGAAGTAAAACGGGAGCATATAATTAACTTTACTTTAATAATCATACAGGTACTAGTACAGTACACATACTAGGATTCACAAATGACGAGTTAAAAAGTAATAAACACACCTGGTTAGGTTAGGGTGGCAGGTATGACAGTTGCAGTTCTTTATATAGCAGAGTCTGACATGCTGGATAAGAAAGTCCATATAGGAGTCAGTGCAATAAGTTTTACTAGGATCTTGTGGAAGACAACTGTGGTAGATTTGTAAATGAATCTTCATCTGATTGTGTCTGTCTGTCTATCTCCTTTCTCGCATGAGAAATACAGCATAACATTTTTTAAATCTTATCCTTTTTTACATATCTAATATTTCAATCAAAAATGTCAAAAATACAAGTAGTAAATAAAGACAGTAAGATATTTTAGACATTTCAGCCTATGCTTACAGACACAATCTGCAGCCACCTTTTTATTTTTTTACTCTGTTTCAGTTCAAATGAAGGAACTGCAACCCTCAACTTACAAAGCATCTATCTAGATAGGGAAATATAAATAACTTTATTCTGTTCAAGAATCTACAAGTAGATGGCAACTTTAAACACTGAAAGGGGGTCTAGAGCAATACAATGTAGATCTGTTTAGCCTAAGAGATAACACAATGTGAGCCAAGCCGTTTGTCAACAATCATGACGGAGCCTTTTCTTCCCACTTTTATCCTAAAACTTGTCATCAGATATGATTACAGGTTTTAAGATATAAGTTGGCAGAAACGGCTCAATAACTAGCCTCACAAATGATGCTCTGGGGGGCCCTTACGGCATGAAACTGCCAAGAAAATTCAGATTTCCCATTTAAATCACGAAAAAAAAGGTCTCCTGTCTGTCTGTTCTGCCTACCTTGTGGCTGTCCGTATGCCTGGGGTGGCGGCATCCCCCCTCCGGGTTGATTTGTCACGGGGTCCCCCATGATACCTGCAATGATTTAACACAGAAGTTACTAATAATACAATGAGAAATAAACAGGGGCAGATGTAAGCCATCTTTTGGGTCTTCTGGAAGACAGTAAAAATTGTCCAAGTTTATGATGACATAATGTTTGATTTCGGAAGATGGTCAAAATTGAAGACTGGATCAACAGAGATAATTTGGAAGACTGTCCGAAAAAAATATATATATCTGAATCGACCCCTTAATAAATGTTAAATTATACCTAAACTTATCAAAATAACTGAAACTAAAAATGACAGCAGGATGCACACATTTACTGATCAATATTATATTTCTATACCTCACTACCCCTTTGTGATTCACATATTAAGTAGCTAAAAATACCCCCAAAAGCAAACAGTTTACATTCATCCTGCTCATATCTGAGGGGTCACCATAATTTATAGATCACGCGTGAACAACAGGTAAATCTCTTCAAAAAGAGAGGCATTGAAATAGCCTTACACAATACCTGGTGAAACCAGCAACAAACATTATAAATAGAACAACAAACTAATCGATGAAACGATGCTACTTCATGCTACATAAGTTTTTTTGTCAGCAAACTGTAAATATTTTATCAGTAAAACAGAGAACGCTGAACAATAAGGCTAAAGCTTGCCTTTTTGATTCTGTGTATAAAATGGCTGAATATAATATAAAAAATGAACACCATAGGTTAGCAAAGATTGAATTACATTTTTTTTTTGTAAAATAGGGCCCAGACTTATGTTATTCAACTTGGACTACATATCAGCTATAAACGCATCAGGTCACAATCACTATAAGAACAAAAAAGTGAATATTACTACAGTCTTTCAGCCTACGAGTCCTTCTCAAGGACCTACTAGGATGAATCTCTTGGTTCTCAGAAATGGTGGATATATAGTAACTGACCAAATTTACAAGGTTATACTGGCTTCAACATGACTGGTATTTGGATTATTCACAGTTGGTTATTAAGATATATCAATACACAATTGCCAGAGACATATAATCAAATTTGGTCGTTAGAATTACACAACAGACTCAGTGTAATTCCTACACTAAGGGTGCATTCCCAGAGATTTCGATCTATCCAGAGATTTAGATTTAGATCGACCTAACTCCCTGGGGATTCGTGCTTAATTGCAGTCAGCCGAGTGCGCACCTTAGTTAATTACCCCCTTACAGCTTGTAGTAGGCAGGACGGACATTTAAGCGGGATTATCTGACAGTAATCTAGTGAGACTCCCCGCGGGGATAGATCGATCTAAAAGCTCTGGGAATAAGCCTTAAGTCCTCATCTGTGTATGCAGAGTGCTTGAACTCTGCTGCCAGGACTCTCGCCGAAGTTACAATCAGCTTAACTGCATAAAACCCTTCCTGCTTTTCTGTTTTCGAGGAAGCTGATTTCGCTAAGAAAGAATCTCCGCAGAGTTGGGTGGATCCACATAGACCAATGTGTATATATGTAAATATGAGCATGGGGCCACAGGGATAAATGATAATTTAAGTTATAAATACTAGTACTAGTAAGGTAACGAGTCATACAGAGTCGAAAAACAAAATTATTTGTCACAAGAATATTATTCACTTTTATTAACCATCCTGATGCTGTCACCAATTGTTTATCAGTGATTAATGAGTAACGATTGCCAATTTATACAAATTAGTTTCATTTAAAAGTCCTAATTAAAATACTAGGTGACACAAATGTCATTCCAGAAATAAATGCAACAGAAAATGCCCAGGTAAAAATTGGATAGAATTTATACCATATTCTAGAACACTTGAATTTTTTTCACAATAATCACAGCACAACATGCGTGCTGTTTCCATCAAAGATGTCCTTCAAGGTCTTTACCTGACAGTCTTTATATTGAACACAAAGCCACTCAGTCAGCAAGCTAGGCATATTGCAGCCTCTTTTGTCATTACGTAATCTTTGCTTACAGTATATTGTATTATTTATGTACAAACATGGGTCTGGATAATGTAATCAATTCCCTGGTATGAGCTTATGATGGACATAGCAACGGGGAGTGGACTAAAGCTTGTTGTAGAGACATTGTTTCATCATTTAACTGTGCCAAATAAGTAGAAAAAATATATATATTGAATTGTATTCTAATAATCCATCATCCACAAGTATATATAAATTCAAAGAGCATCCTAAGAAAAGGTGTGTTAGATCCTTTTAAGATACCAATTAACAAGCTCTATTAAAAATGACTTAAAAAAAAAAAAAACTTATGAAAACTGTATTCTTATATTAGCACAATAATATGTCTGAATCATGCCAAAGCTGGACAGAACAACCCTGAGTGTAAATATTTTGAAATGTGTCCTCCTTCTTTCTTCCAGACAGTAAACATGTCTCTGTTATAAACTTTTAAATGAATAAGCAAGGAAGAGGGTAAAAAGAAGGTGCTGTGGAATAATATCATTAGTTTAAAGAACTTATGTAACTGCCTAGTACATACTAAAATCCCCTTGAAAATCCTTCCGGTGCAATTCTTCACTACACTATACATCCATCATTTACAGGTTTGGATATAAATTTTTGTTAAGACAGGGTCAAAGATAAATAAATATGCTTTAAGAGGGCTATCTGTTTTTCTATTGTCCCTTGTTGAGTATGGTCATATTGATATACCAAAGGTCGATAAATAATTTTATCACTTTATCAGTTGTTAATCTGATTCATATTCTTCATTCTATATATTGGTGAAAAAATTTGGGTGACTCTTGGTATCATCTTGGTATCATGTCATGCTACAGACAATTGGCATATATATATATATATATATATATATATATATATATATATATATATATATATATATATATATATATATATATATATATATAATTCTTCTTAATTCCTTTGTAACATTTCTTTAATCCTACTCTAAATGTAATATAACTACACTAGTCAGTTCATTTAGGTCACACATGCAGTTGAGAATATTGTAACTTTTTTGGGGAAATACCTGAGCGAGTGCTCTACCACAGAGCTATCGAGTCTACCCCAGCCAGTTACTGCACCCCCACCCCCCCCGCCCGCCTCCAAACAATGCCAAAAGACTGAGTCTACCACGCCCTACATCACTGTCACCATTGTAACGTTTGGGGGAAATGCTCGACTCGTCCGGGGATCGAACAGGGACGCTAGTTGACTGTGCAAGTGCTCTAGATTTCAACGGGCTATTATCACACCACTATTAGTTATTACACAATCTCGGCATTTTAGGAATTTTGTCAGTTAGCCACGCATGAAAAGAGAAGGCAGTTTGTCCAAATGCTTTTCAATTAAGGACAAAATAAGTGACTTTTTTTTTCGAGAAAATACCTCCTGTGTACCTTATGTTATGTTATGGAAACACTGCTGTAATAGGAACCGCCCGTTTCTAAAAGTAAACAAAAGGTTAACTGCACTGCTTCTTACTTAAACGCTGTTTAACGTGCGCTTAATGGCATGAGATCAACGACTTTACCTGCTTACACTTACTCTCACGATGTTATAAAATTCACCGAGATAACAAATGGCAGAAATCCCTGTAAAATCTCGGCGTCCTTTGGAACGTTTGTGTCTGCCTCCAACCAATCGACACAAGATGGCGGAAGTACGGGCTGAAGAGTTTCTGCGATTTTGATTGGCTGGCCTGTCTATACTCTTTCAATCAAGTGTCCGTTTCAATCTAGCATGGAGTAATGGCTATTTCGCAATATCCGTTACTAACTTTCGCAATAAGCACACAATAGATCTTGTTTGCACAACAAAACTGACCCATTCTTATCTTGAAGGGAACGATCTATGTGCAGCTCGACAACAAATGTGGAAACTGGTTTTTAAAATATCAATAGTGAAGGTTGATTCCAGTTCAATCGGTTTGTAAGTTGGGGCGTGTCCGGTAGGAAATATATTACAACCATTTTGAAGACGTTTGATAACACAGGCCCCATCTCTATTCATATGGAATTTAAACGGCATTTATGTATAAACGAGCGAATTTTGACAGTTTTTCCACATAGAATGATTAAAAAATAATTTTGAGAGAGAGAGAGAGAGCAAGAGAGAGGAAAACCATAGTAGGCTACTGATAGGCCTACGTCTAGGCCTACTAAATGTTTTTAACTTTAAAATTTTTCTATCCCAACTTCACTCGCTCAGGTCCCATCTCGGAGATATCATGTACAAATCTTAATATACATACATGTAGGGGCCTATACCGGTACCAGTAGGCCTAGTACAGCTAGCGTAGGCTAGCATGTTACCTGTAAACTACATGTAGGTTAGCCTACACTGTGCACCAGTACACCACTTCATAAATATCTTAAGCATTCACAAAATGGACTGTATACGTAACATTAAGACGCTACACCTCAGAGCTATTGTAATTTTCCATTTTATCTGAAGTGTTTCAAATAAATATTCAGACCTTATTCTATTAATTTGATTATATGCGCAGGTTTAATTAATTTTCTGCACTGTGTTTTATTACAGACCTACCTTTGGTAAATTATGTTTAGTCCTTTTGTAATCTTGTTTGCTTGTAGCTCTTTATTTGTGACAGATGCGTTTGGTAATCTGTAGTTGCATGTCAAAGTCCATCATTTTATACTCCGACCACAAGTGCGTGCGTGCGTGCGTGCGTGCGTGTTTTGGAGGAAGGCGGGACAGAAAAAGACCCTAATACTTGGCGCTCTGGACCCGTCTATACATGATTGCATGTAAGATTGCCCTGGTGTTGAACCACATAAATCAGTTTAATCTTTTTGTCTTAATGGTTGATTTTATTTCTCAGTAGCAGTGCTCAGTTAAATAAAATGTAGCTTCGGATAATATTTCAAATGATAGATAATATTTCAAAATGTGCTAGTTGAGCCCCAGTCTCAACCAAACAGCAATCTGCATCATGCGGTTCAAAGCTTCATATAGTAAAAATGTAATCTTTTCATTAAAATAAAATCCACTTGGAAAATTCAACACCGAGCACCATTGCCAAGGCTTAGCATAGTCAATACACCTAAACTGTCCTTAAGACTGTAAAAAACCTGTTTTTGAGTTCTAAGTTTTCTAGTTTTTGAGTCACAACCGTTTCACACAAGGATTTTCCAAAAGTAGTGGTTTTCATTTGTGATAAATTGTAAACTTCCGGAAAGAGGCTACGCTTATTATCGTTGTTATTGATATTAATTGGCTATTAACCGGTAAAACGAGCATTCTATGGATTCTTTATTCTAGTAGGCGGTGGGGGCAACCATTGAATAAGAAAACAAACAAATAAATAAATACCTAAAAAGATAGAATAAGTAAAATACACGAGTAACCAGAGTCAGAGAGGGGATTACGGAAAATTTAATTATTTGCAGTTAGACATCGGTTGGTTGGGCCCAGTGTCTGTCAATACCCAGAGAAGTGGCCAGTGGCCTTTTGGTCCCCTCCTGCCGACGGTTAAGACCGACGTTGCTGAAAAAAGGAGTGGAGGAAGGTGGGGTATAGGGGGAGGGCTTCCTTATGTTTCCCCAGCTCCTACACCTATGTACAGATACTATCGTCTGCCGGTGTAACGTGACGGAGAGTCCCCAATGATAGAGAGTCTGCTTCCCATTCATTTGTACTGGTAAGCCTCACCCCAGGTTTAAACCATAACCATTATAGCTAAATGGAGGGCGGACTTTCTGTATTTCCATTTATTTGTTTATCAGTTTGGTGAATTTAATTGGGATCTCAGGGCCGTAGCCTCCGGGGGGGCAGGGGGGGCAGCTGCCCCCCCCCTGGGATTTAGAATTTTCCACACTGGTACCGGGAC